TAAACCTCTCAACATAAACCTCTCAATAAACCTCTCAAGGCTTAAACCTCTCAATAAACCTCTCAACATAAACCTCTCAATAATCGCATAAAACACAATTGAATCCACAATAACCAGTTCTAAATGCTTATCAAATCATATATAAGCAATACATATTCAAAGTTCTAAACACTCACCTTTACAAATTGAGAATCAAAGCTTTTGAAAATCCTTTTCTTCTTCCTTCTGTGAAATTCTCCAATTCTTCAGAGAGAGACTTTCAAATGTAGAATGTATGTGTGTGTGCTTTTTATTTCACCAAAAATTATTTATACAAGCACTTTAAAAGAGTATGGCGGCTTCACAAGCCGACCTCTCTTTCTAATAATTTAATATTACCCACACACAAAAATCCTATATATATATATATATATTTAATTCAATAAAATACATATATATATATACATATATATATAACCAAAATAATAACCAGACTATTACAATATTCCCTCCTTAAAAGAATTCCGTCGTGATTCCTATCGTCGCTTGTGTTCCTTGTAGATGAGACGATCTCGTATTATCATGGATACCGAGTATAGAGTGGTTGAGATAGTTGTTGTAGGGTTTATCGTTGATAAAGGTATTGTATGTATTAATGTCGACGACATAGGTGTCGGAAGACATGGGGAAAAAGTCATGTTTGGTGGGGATAGGTAGGTGTGGGGTGAGGTAATCTAGTTGTAGATATCACTGTCCCACGTGTTGGGTCATTAAAAAAGAAATCCAGTATACGGTGACATATTTAAGGGAAACAAGGGTGAAGGCCAATTCAATGATGTATCGGTTGTGCCAGGGACACACAAATTAAAAGACATTTTGACTAATTCCCTAAACATTTTTTTAATGAATAAACAATCGATTTTTTATAAATTGTTACATACATCATTTGAACAAAAAAAAAAATATTGTTACATACATCATTTGAACAAAAAAAAAAAATATGTAACCATCCAGCAAGATTTAAAGTAAAGAAAACCTAAATCACTTTTAATAAAGTTCCCAAATTCTACAACATTCATACCCCTTTTACCCAATGTCTATCCCCCTCACCGCCTCATCCTCTTCCTCTCTCTATCACGGCCCATCATCTTCATTGGCCCTGGCAGCTCCCTCTTTTTGATTGGTTTTCTTTGTTTTTCAAAATCTGTCTTTTATATCTGTCAATACGTACTCTCTTAAATTGTCATAAAGAGGAGAATCAAAAAGAGAGGAAAAAACAGATCAAAAAGAGGCAATGGCAGGCAAGGGCCAAAACGGTGATGGACAGCACGAAGAATGGACAACGATAATGTGGCGAGGGGGAGTGATGTCGTTGGGTTCGAGGGGTTTTAACAGTTTTGTGTTAGGAAACGATAAAAACCGACTTATATTTTCTTTTTTAATCCTTCATAACCGATTACATGTACCTTTCTTGGTTATAAAATGTAGGTAACCCATTTTTACAAATTTGATGGTTTATTTATTCTAAAAGAAATTGTTCAATGACTTGACGATTTAAAATAACAAAGTTTAATGGTTTTTCTCCTTCAAAAAAATTAATTACTTAATTATTCAGAATAAGGAACTCCATTAGAAACTTCTCTTACATTTTCATATATCTTACAAAACCAAATTTCTCATTTAGGTAGCGTTTGGTACGCAGACATAATTGTAGCGTTTGGTACGCAGACATAATTGGACAGGACTGAATAGGACTGAACTAGACAAGAGGATAGGACTGAACAAGACAGGACGGGACAGGAGTATATCTGGTGTTTGGTACGACTAGGACTGGACTGGACGAGACAGAACTAGACAAACTATCCTCAAAAGTTATTTGATGAGTTTAAATATTATATGTCTTTCTTTCACAACTTGTAATCAAATCACCTAAAAACCAGAAATATAACTGCAAAGGAAATACAATAGAATTAACTAACCGTTATAAATTTACAAAACGAAAAGATAGTTGATTTGATTCTTATTTTATGTAACGTATTTTAAGGACTCACGGTATGATAATTCAGGTAAGATATCTCAAACATTTAAACTATGATACGGTGCCAAAAAGTACAATCCTCGCCATCCGATGATCAAAACATCCAATTGTTGAAAAAGGCGATCTTTATGAAAAGTAAAAGGGCCAAACCCAGTATATCCCATTCGGAAAACAAGATCCAGCTATGAAAAATAAAGAGACCATTTGCATCGAATGCTACTTGGCTTGGCGAGATTTTTACGCCCCTTCTTCAATTTTACAAAAAATGGTTTCCATAATTTGAATTCATGAGGACTGAAGTGTTACTAAATGTCGTTTCATTTAAGGCAAGCATGGCAGCCATTCGAGCGATTCACCAGCAGACATTGGAACTATACTTCCGGATGCATACGAGTATGATTCTGGAACCTTCCATGTCGTCTTTTTCAATGTCATCTTTCTTGTGTTTCTTGGAAGCCCGTAAAAGTCTGGTCCATTAAAGCTTGTAAATGCCTCCAGTTTGTCCAATGCACCTGCCTAAAACCAAATTATGAGTCGGTTAAAAGATAAAACAATATGTCGTCAAGTCTTTTAGTTAGATAGTCACGATCCCATCAACACTGTAATAACTAACTACGCATCTTGTTTAGTCCATCGCTAATCACAAAACTCTAATAACTAACTACGCATCTTGTTTAGTCCATCGCTAATCACAAAACTGGGAGAATCCTTCCGACCAAAAACCAATATCATCAATAACTTGTAAATATAACATAACATCATGGACATAGTCCTTTCAGGCAGTGGCCTCATCCTTTCTCCTCGGATGGTAGGAATAAGATCAAGGACGACTTTTTTTATCCAACCTACGATGGCATGCAACGCTATGGCACCCTACGTCAAGTCAGTCAGCCGCCGCTAGGGATGGGAATGGACCCCGACCCGTCGGGTAACCCGGTCCACCCGCCCCGGTCGGGGACGGGGATTCCCCGAAAAATCGGCTCTCGGGGACGGGGACGGGGATCCCCGCTTGGCGCAAGCCGGGGACGGGGACGGGGACGGGTATAGCACTCCCCGCCCCGCCCCGTACCCGTTTTTTTTATATATATATTTTTTATGAATTTGGGCTTTGGGCTTTGGGCTTTGGGCTTTGGGCTTTGGGCTTTGGG